TATAAATATAATAGGCTTTCGAGCTTTATCATTGGCCTTTTAAATCGATAAAATTTAATAATATCCATAATTTGTCGGGTCAAAATTTGACCTTGAAATATTTATTGTTGATAACTCACTTTCCTTTAATTTTTTTGAAATTCCGTTTGAAGGATTCGGAGGATCAATTAAAACACTAAATATTGGCTTAACTAAAAATGATTGCTCGAATTTTAAATTTTGGCAAAATGCGAAAACCTTTCAATTTGGCCCATAACTCACGAACGGTTTATTCCCTTGGTATGCAGTTTAAAGATTCTGTAGGATCAATTAACGCTCTACACTTTGGCATAAATTTCGGTAATTGATCCTCACTTTAAAAAAAAATACCGCCAACTTCACGTTTTTAAAACCGTTATAACTCGGTCACGGTTGGTGATACGGATATGCGGTTTGCAGATTATTAATGTACATATTGAATACTACATAATTGCCAAGTTTCAGATTATGATCTTATTTATTTTAGGTTTTGGCAAAGTGCCAACACTTTTTTATTTTGCCCATAACTCAAGAACGGTTTTCCGTTGGTATGCGGTTTAAAGATTCTGGAGGACCAATTAACGCTCTACACTTTGGCATAAATTTCAGTAATTGATCCTCACTTTTTAAAAAAATTCCTACAACTTCACGCTATAAAAACAGGTCATAACTCTGTTGCGGTTAGTGATATCGATATCCGATTTGGAAATTATTAACGCACAAATTAAAGCCTAAATAATTGCGAAGTTTCAGATCGTGATCTTTTATATTTTCGGTTTTGGCAAAGTGCCAACACTTTCTTATTTTGCTCATAACTCAGTAACGGTTCATTCCGCTGCTTTCCGGATAGAAGATCAATTAGGATCAATTAACGGGCTATACAATGGTATAAGTTTCGGTAATTGATCCTCAAATCGTTCCTACAGCTTAAATATTTCCGCCAACTTAACGTTTTTAAAACGGTTATAACTCGGTATTGGTTAGTGATATCGATATCCGGTTTGGTGATTGTTAATGTACGTATTGAATACTACATAATTGCCAAGTTTCAAAACATGATCTTTTTTATTTTCGGTTTTGGCAAAGTGCCAATACTTTTTTGTTTTGCTTATAACTCACGAACGGTTCATTCGGTTGATATGCGGTTTAAAGATTCTGGAGGATCAATTAACGCACCACACTTTGGCATAATTTTTGGTAATTGATCCTCACTTTTAAAAAAAATTCCTACAACTTCACGCTATAAAAACAGGTCATAACTCAGTTGCGGTTAGTGATATTGATATCCGGTTTGGAAATTATTAACGCACAAATTAAAGCCTAAATAATTACCAAATTTCAGATCGTGATCTTTTATTATTTGGTTTGGCAGTGCCAACACTTTCTTATTTTGCTCATAACTCAGTAACGGTTCATTAAGCTGCTTTCCGGATAGAAGATCAATTAGGATCAATTAACGGGCTATACAATGGTATATGTTTCGGTAATTGATCCTCAAATCGTTCCTACAGCTGCAAATCTTCACACTTTCATTATTTTGCTTATAACAGCCTTTAATTTTTTTGACATTCCGTTTGAAGAATACGGAGGATCAATTAAGGTACTAAATATTGGCTATAACTAAAAAAATGATTGCTCAAATTTTTAATTGGCTATAACTAAAAAAATGATTGCTCAAATTTTTAATTTTGGCAAGATGCCAAAACCTTTCTATTTTGCTTATAACTCACGAACGGTTTATTCCGTTGATATGCGGTTTAAAGATTCTGGAGGATCAATTAATGCACCACAATTTGGTATAGTTTTTGGTAATTGATCCTCACTTTTTAAAAAAATTCCTACAACTTCACGCTTTAAAAACAGGTCATAACTCGGTTGCGGTTAGTGATATCGTTATCCGGTTTGGAAATTATTAACGCACAAATTAAAGCCTAAATAATTGCCAAGTTTCAGATCGTGATTTTTTATATTTTCGGTTTTGGCAAAGTGCCAACACTTTCTTATTTTGCTCATAACTCAGTAACGGTTCATTCCGCTGCTTTCCGGATAGAAGATCAATTAGGATCAATTAACGGGCTATATAATGGTATAAATTTCGGTAATTGATCCTCAAATCATTCCTACAGCTGCAAATCTTCGCACTTTCATTATTTTGCTTATAACTCAATAACCTTTGATTCCGCTGATGTCTGGTTTGAAGATCAATTAAGACTCTAAATAATGGCATAGGTTTTGGTAATTGATCCTTACATCGTTCCTACAACTTCACGGACCTCAAAGTATTTTTATTTAAATACTTTATTAAATTTTTTTTATAGGTATTTTAAATACTTTTTATAAAAAAAAGGAATTTGTATTTATATTCGAATACATTTTTTAAAAATATACCCAAACCTGAATATAACTACATTTATATTATTTAGCTATGCTTCTATTTAACAATGAGGCAATATTGTTTTTGACAAATACATTTCACTTACAAATCTTTTTTATTTTATGAATAAAATGTTTTCTCTATCAAAGTGTATTTGCTTTTATTAATAATACTTTTATATTTGAGTAAGATTGGTCCAGTCTAGTTCGAAATCCAGGCCATAAATAAGCCGGGCGAGTTATATAAATTGTTCAAAATATTTTTAAGGGCTGGTTTGAATTTTTAAATAAATCTGAGGTATATCGTTTTCATTCTTAAAAAATTAAGATGTGCCAGGAAACTTGTACAAAATATATTTTTTATTGGCGGGTGTCCTAGTTTTTGTCTAGTTTATAAAAGTTATCATATTTTTGGTATTATATATTTTTTCTTAATAATTTTTATTTGTAAAAATAAAATTGATTACTTCTTTTTTTGGGATTTTTCTTAGTCTCTCATCTTAACATCTATAATTTCTTATATTCCGATTTCTTACTAATTTCTTATAACTATTAATTAATTTAATTACACTTTTTAAGTTTCGTATAATTTTTATTTTTCATATTATATTTGTCACTTATATATGGTACATCTTCACTAAATCTTTAATTGAACATGTTAACATTCTATATTTTTGCCCATGTAAGTAAAAAAAAATTAAAAATAACGATTATGACAATTCACTTTTCTATGGTATATCTTCATGAAAACATGGTTACAATTTATATTTTTACCCATTTGCTTCAAAAAAATTCAAACTTTAAAAATAAACGATTGACAATTGTCACGTATCTAGGATACATTTTCACTAAAGTTTTTTTTAAACATGTTAGCAATACTTATTTTAACCCATTTTCGTCAAAAGAATTAAAAACTTTTAAAATACGATTATGACAATTGTCACTTTCTATGTACATCTTCGTGAAATTTTAATTTAACTGTTTACAATCTATATTTTTACCCATTTGCGTCAAAAAAATTTAAAAAATATAGATTATGACAATTGACTTTTATATAGGATACATCTTCACTGAAGTTTAATTTAAACATGTTAGAAATACTCATTTTAGCCCTATTACGTCAAAAAAATTTAAAAAACTTTAAAAATAACGATTATGACAATTGTCATTTTTATATTGTACATCTTAATTAAAATTTTTATTTAACATGTTATAAATACATTTTTTTTTGTCCATTAGCATCAATAAAAAATAATATGTTTAAAAATACCGATTATTATAATTGTCATTTTTCCAAGGAACATATTCATTGAATTTATAATTTAACATCTTTATAATCTAAATATTATTTATACCCTTTTGTGTCAGAAAATTTCAAAAATGGTGAAAAATAACGTATATGGCAATTGTCACATTAAAATATACCCTTTAAAAGATCATATAAAATAACATAAAAAAGTTCAATATAAATATTTAAAAAAAATTATTTAGAAAAAACCACCTCTTTTAATATACTTAAAAAATAGATTATTTTACAAAAATGATAAAAAATAAATAAAAGATTTCATCTAAAAGATTGTTTATTTAAAATAAAATTCACAAAATAATTCTTCAAAAATGTTTATTAACAAAGAAGATTTAAAATTCTTATCAAATCAAAATATGCAAAAATCTTTTTGAACTTCATTAAATATATTTTGCTTAAAATTTTGGGTGTGAAAATCACTAATAAATTAACAATTATAATATTACAATAGTAGCCAAATCATATTTTTTATTATAAAAATATTAAATAAATAAATTTATTTTTATTTCAAAATATAATAATTTAAATAAAAAATATTAAATCATATAATATGTTTATTTGTATATAATAATATATGGAACGCTAACCGACGATAATCCGATGCAGAATTTTTGATAATTTAGTTTTAACCGATTTTTTGGTTAAGCCTAATTAAGTTTAGCCGATTTTTGAGCTAAGCCTAATTAGGTTTAACAGATTTTTAGGCTACATCAGGTTTCTCCGATATTTAGGCTAAGCATAATTAGGCTTAGTTTTTAGCCAATTACGCAACACTAGGTATCTATAGCAAGATACACTTTTATTTAACGCTTATTTATATTAAAAATAAAAATATTTGAATGTAAAATTCATTTTATTTCATGAGCATTTAATTTAAATAAATATATATTAAAACTTAACTTATATATCAGAGACCTACAGGTCCGGCCCATATTATATTTTTATACTGTGTATCTATATCTAAGTACGTTTTAGACGATGTACATTTATCTAGAACCATGTAAAAAATAACTTTTAACAACTCTGGTTTTCGTATAAAATAAAATCATTTTACATTTTTTTAAAAATCTGAATGGATCTGGACTGGACCTAATATTGAAATTTTGATTTTCGGGCCAGACTGGGCAAATATTCATCAGACCTTGAAAATATATCAAAATGTTAAAGGACTAAGCTGAACCTAAGAAAACGGGTCCAAAGCCAATGCATGGCTCTAATAAACAGCCATAATAATAATATATCTTAATATCTTTATTTATCGAAGATGGTAATTATATATTGTATAATCACATTTAATAATTTAAATCTTCAACATTTTGTTTAAAAAAATATAGGACAGCAATACTCGATTTTTAAAAATTAATAATTATTTATAAATATCAATAAAAAAGATACATTTAGATTTCGTTAGTAATTAATTATCTTCAATAATTATAAATATTTTATTTTGTCCTTTGATTATTTCAAATCAAACCAAACCTAAGGGCTCTGATAGATTTTTTGTTTACTTCGTTGAATAAAGTTTCATCAGTGCTATTACCAAAACGTATGGCCCTTTGTTTTTTGATCAGGTTAACCTAAACATGTGTGGTAGAAAATTTGAGTATATAAAATATTTTTATGAATAGAAAAAATTAGAAAATTTTTTTATAAGGTAAAAAATTTTGTAATATGAAATCAAATTAAATAAGGCTTAATTATATAAAATCAATGTATAATTATGAATAGTACTAATTATATACTGCAATTTTTGAAATTACAAATTAATTTAATCATTGACTTAACATAAATCGATGAGATCATTTGTCATCAAAATTTTTAATCAATTTATTTTTATATTTAAAAAGCTAATGGTTGCTACTTAGACACTTTAATTTACAAAACAATATTTATTTCGTATTTTATTATTAACCTGTCAAAATCATTATTTTATTATATCAAAATACAAGTTCAGATATCTAATAATTTGTAGAGATAAAGGTGAGGTTTTATCCAGTGGAAAATTTGAAGTGATAGAACAATAAATATTATTTTATTTTAATCATATTTATTTACAAATTCTATGAACATTATATCTCAATATTGATAGTAATTATAACTTACACTAAAGAAATTAAGCTTAAAATCAGCCATCACCCACCTTTAAAGTAATTAAATTATACTGTAGTTCTCGGGTATAGGCTTTTTCTTTGTCCCACTCCTTTTAAATTAAAGCTTATAGAGGTTTAAGCAACATTTTTCAAAATGTTGTGCCTACAAGTACGTGCGGCTTGTCCACAAACGTGTGGAGGGCTCCTCATATTTTTACTTTTATACCCAAATTAAATTGTTCCAATTAGATGGAAATGAGGAAAACCTAGCGTAGCTCTGTTGAATCTTCAACGCTAGAGGGCAAAAGCGCTATATATCACGTAAATACAAGTTCAAAATTAGGTATTTTACGCGCCAAATTTTTTACACATTTAAATCGATAACCATTTTATATAAATCAAAGGTATATGTTTTTATAATATATTATTACTATTATTTCATGTTTAGTAAAAAAAATTAACATATTATTTATATGATTTTTAGAAAATGCAAATTGGTAACATTGGGATTTTCTAATGCAACTTTTTCCAGAATTTTTTTAAAATTAAATATTGAAAATATGATTTAGAAAGAATTGACTATAGGTTATTTTCAGAGTTGGGCAGTACCGCAAATACTTGTATCTATGCTACAAGATCCTCTTGTATATTATCCTCAGTATATTTTTGGCATTTTTAATAAGATACTAATCTGAATCTAAGATCCTTTATTCTGAAAAGAATCTTGTATCTTTTTGAAAGATATAAATTCTTTTTAATATTAATGTTTAAATTTTACATATCAGAGTATACATCTTATTTTCTTCGGGAATCTTGTATTAATGTTCTTATTTTTTGCTCCTTATTTTAAATATATTGACAACCAAAATTAGCTGGAAAATTTCCAACTCATAATAGATAAAAAATAACAACACAAGGGAATAATATTAAGAATATATTTTATATATAAATATAACTTAAAGAATATCATTACCAATTTTATGTAATATATTTAATTGAATGATTAACACTCATGGCGTGAAGAAGAAGGTGAAATATAAATTATTTAAAATAAGTTCCCCTGAATCAAATATTAAAATTTTAGATGGAAATTTTTATAAAATAAAGTTAAAAAAGATAATGTACAGGCTGAATGTAAAACCTGTATACAAAAAAATGAGGGAACACAAACATATTAAAGTATATTATTTTTAAAAGGGACATAGGTTATCTAATTTAAGTTTACAATATTGTTTACGAGCTGCTCAAGATTGATGGGCAAAGATTTTGAGAAAATTTTTTCATATGATATGAATATAATGAGGCTTTTTTGGCATTTAAGAACTTATGGATTGAGTTGGATGATAAAAAAAATTCTTTCAAAATATATTATTAAAAAAGTCCTAAATGTAGTACCAGAGTATATAAAGCTCAAACTATAACACCAATAGATTTAACATCTAATAAAGAAAATGATGATTATTTTTCTCTTGGTGAAACAAATGTTGCTGAGTTTAATAATACAAATAACTAGGGATGCACCGATATTTATTATCGGATCGGGCCGATATTTCACCCATTTTAAAATATCGTTTATTGGCCAATATTATAAAATTTTTCGATCCGATATAAAATGGCACCTTTAACAAAAATAAAATGTTATAAAAATTTTTAAAAAAAGTTATAACTAAAATAATTTATTTTTATAAATAATTTTTTTAATAATAATAATTAATTAATAAATATTCTGCCATATTGTTATTTTTTTGCGCATTCTGTTTATAAAAGTGTGCTATAATCTTTTCAGAATCAGTTTTTAGTGAAGGTAATATTGACAGTTACCATCGCCGCAAGCAAATTTTGGTATTTCTACAAAGAAATCTTCGATATATTAATGTTAAATATTATTTTAAATATTTATTTCAAATTTCATATATATCTGTTTATTGCTTACTATGTATATGTATTACTTATTATATAAAAGTGATTTAACAATAAAATATTTTATATACTTTTAGAATTGCAATAGAATTGAATATAAACTATAACTGATCATTATAATATATTTAAATGATATAAGTTATGGTATAGTTAAATTATAGATGTTATATTAATAAAAATGATATTAAAAATTAAAACCATTGGTATCTTCTGATATCAATTTAATATTGGAAATATCGGCTCGGATCGCCTCCAAAAAGAGGTATCGATACACCTCTACAAATAACATTGAACTGGAGGTTTTAAATTATATAAAAAAAAGTTAAAATACATTATAGCCTAATTATTATCATTCCATTAAGGTAATGTTTTTAAAATATATTACTGCAATACCTTTTAGCTCCAATAAAACATTATTTATTGACACAATGTTAAGTACACTGAAATGGCAAAGGTCTAATTATAAATTATTTGAAAAATTTGATTATCTTAAATAATGAATCTATTTTAAATACTCTTTTGCAAATTAATATTTCAACTCCTATTAAAAATACTAGTCTCTCTTTCCTATCTATGCAAATGGGCTAATACTAATATTAAAATACCTGATTATTATAATTAATTCATCATTAAATATTTTATTAACTATTGTACATTCCTATTATTTGTGTATGTTATCTTCTTCACAAATAAATAATAAAATCTGTATTTTATAAACTATTCTAATTTATAAGTAATGATAATTTAAAAGTATCTTGTATTAAAATACTCTAATTTAGCAAAAGATACAAATATCTTTTTTATATTTAGAAAAAAATACTAGTATCTGTATCTAAGAATCATTTTTTTATAAAGAATCTGTATCTGAGATTCATTTTTTTATAAAGAATCTGTATGTAGATTTCTTTTCCGGATGACCTGCCCAACTCTGGTTATTTTCCATTTAGCAAACCACTATAATATTTGCAAAAAATTAAGAATGTAGAATTTTTTTTCATTTTATGCATATTTTTTTTAAATGACAACATGTATTATACCAGAGGTTAATATATCTGATTTAGATATTGAAAAGGATGAGAACTATGAAAATGACGTAATAGTTGTTCTAGCGTTTGGAGAAATAAGGATTTATATAAATATAATATATAATTTAAACGGGAGTTTTTCCCTCCCCCAATAAAGAAATTTGCCCTTTCAAATATTTTAAAAAATTTATAGACGATTATATTATTAACAATTTAGCAGAACAAACTAATATTTATTCTTTATAATTATCTGAAAAATCAATAAATACTTAATGAAACTGGAAAATTTATTGTAATTCACCTTTACATGGGCATTGTGTGGATTTTAATAATAATATTATAATTTGCAAATCAGTTATCACCATATCATCATTTATGAGTATAAATCCCAAATCATGAAAGAGAAAATGGTCTGTATCTGATAAAGATTTTCCCAATATCGAAATTCTGGCCATATATCAAGAATATAACGATGGTATGGGTAGAGTATCTTCAAAATGTGTTAAGTGAACTGTACAGAACTGACATAAATTGGAAGCGTTTTTATATGCTTCTTTCATTTTTTAGATATCTGTGTAAGTGAATTCATGTTTGCTCTACACATACAGAAACATATATCACTTTAGTATTTCAACTCAGATAGCGAGAGGATTGATGATAGTTGGAAAAGAAAATGATAGAAAAGTAGGTAGATCTACTTTGAAGATTAAAAAAATAAGGAAATTTAATAATTTTCATCCAGTTTGAGATATAAAACAGGGCATTAGCCATCGGCTGCTACTAAGCAAAGATGCAAGAACTCTACAAATGGTTATTCCATATTCAACTATTGTTTTATTTCTTATCATTCAAAATAAATTGTATATTTTTCTTACATATGAATATCCCAATGATGACAAATGGCAACATTTCATAATTATATATACACTTTTTTTAATAAAAAACTTTGAAAATGTGTTATTTGTGTCTTATTTTTGGAAAAAAAAATTTTGTTCATAAGAAAAATGTAGGGCGCAAAAGGGCTCATTAAGTTGCAAAAGATAAACAAACAAAGCAAAGATATAATTAGAATATTTCAAAAAACTTAAAGTTATTCCTAATCTCTGATATAAAAATTTATATAAATATATATCATGATTTCTCCTTTAGTGCTAATTTAAAAAAAAAATTAATTGATTTGTTATTCATTCTACTAAATTTATAAATAATTATAATAATAAATTATAAACGTTTAAGGCTATAGCTTTTTATTAAATCAGGCATACAAAATATTGTAGCAGTACTTGGTATAGCCAAAAAAGTGCTATAGATGCACTTCTTCCTTGGTTAAAGCTACAAAAAATCAAGTATAAGCTTTTAAAAAGGTGATACTAAAAAATAAGTGATGAAAAAATTATCATAAAGATATTAATATTTTATTCTATCATGTATGAATATAACCTTATTGGTAGAATTATTTGTTGTGCCTTTAGTTGTACTGGATATATCGGTGATGATGTGGTCAGGTTTAATGGGAAGTCCAAATCTAATTAAGTACAATGTAAAGAGACTAAAATATGCTATAATAAAATTGATTTTAAACATAGATTAAAACTTAAAATAATTTTTATCTAATAATAAACACATTTTGTTATTTTTGGATATGGAACATTTTACTTAAATTATTGAAGTTAATTAATTTTTTCCATATCCATTTTTCAAATGTATAAAAATAAGTTTTCTAAGAATACTATTTTAAGTTAAAATATGATAAGTTGTATAGATATCTTTCTAAAAATTTTATCATCTATCAGAAAAAAAAATTATATGATTTCATTTGTTTAAAAATATAGATTTTTAAAAATGCTCTCCTGAACATCTGTAAAAAGTGGATATAGAACATTATACTAATGACCCAACAAAATTTTGAATTTTAGAATTATTTTAAATAAATAATATTTATAAAAAATACCGTTTAGCACGACAAAGCAATTTTTCATCTGTTAAATTGCTATGTGTATTATGGCTAAATTTTTCATTCCGCAAAGCAACCCTCTTATAAAATAAATTTTTATATAAAAATTTAATTGTTAAATAATATATTAAATATTGCAATCAGATAATTGATCTAAATAGACCATATCATTTCTGTATTTAAAAAAACTCCATTAAAAGAAACCCAATAATTTATAATATTTAAAACTGGTAATATAATAAATTTATAATCTTAAATTATACTTATAATAATTAACATTTACTTTGCTAGATGGTACATTATTGATCCCATTTAGTTTGATAACATGATTGTTAACATCCAATATTTTTTCTAAGTCATTTTGACTTAAAAAGGTATAAAAGTAAAAAAGATAGACATTTAATTTAAAATAATCTCACTATATGAGTTAATTTTAAAAAGTCAAAATAATTTGATATTACAATGTTGTGATGATTTAATGAAACATTGAAATATTTTTATATGGATGGGTTTTAATTTAATCAATAACAAATGGAGGAATAAAAGAATTTTCAATAATTCCTTGTCTATATTTTATAAAAGAAATAAGGAGGAATAAATAATTTAAAAGAATTTTATAATTCTTTGTCTATATTTTATTATTTTTGTAAATTTTTATATGGATGGGTTTTAATTTACTCATCAATATGTTTCATTAAATCATCACAACACTCTATAATCTATTTAGTATTGAATAATAATCCAAAAATCATTAAAGTTATTACAAAATAATGTTTTAATCTTAAACCTTTTTTTAATTTTTGATTTAATACTAGACAACTCCAAATTTTCAGGACTTATATCCTCATTACTACTATCCAACAGTTTTTCTTCATTAATATCCTCCTCTAAAACATTAGTTTGGTTGTCTAAATATATTGAATCTGGAATTTGTTTGTTATCAAAAGTATTCGAAAAAGAAGAAGAAACTTCTGAGTAGCTAATGTTAGAATAATTGTTTATATTGTGAAGAGAAGAGTTTGTAAAGCCTTTAATAATTAAAATAAAAAAAGTAATTTCAATAATTTACTTAAGTATTAATTGATTATTAATTAATTATAAATTCAATTTTTTTACTGTTTGAAGAGGAGTATAATATAGAGGGAGTAATCTGTTGATATAGTTGAGTAGTAGGTTGTGGAATAGACATAGATTCTACCTGATTTGCTACAGATGCTAAATATTTATGTTATATCACAAAAAAAATATATTAAAAATATGCAATACCTTTTTCAATAAATTTAATTAATCTGTCAACAAGTTCATATTTATTTCCAGTGACAGGTAATCCCAAAATTTTGCATTCTTTTTTAAGATCTGCTAACTAAAAATAAGTTAGTTTAAATATAACAGTAGATAATTATTTACTTTCAAATGAGGCACAGTTGAAATACTTAAAGTAACAGACATTGTATAATACTTTATTACACTAGTAAAATATTTTATAAAAATTATTTGATAAGTCTGATGTTACCGAATTCTATAGCGCATATCGCACGAATTCAGCCATCATGCTTGCAATATTATTAATTTTTTTTAGGCTTATCCAGGATTTGCTCAGGGTATGGGAGAGGGGGGGGGGTAATTTAAGTGGTTATTTTTCACCATAATTTTTTTTGGACTTTCATTTTAAGACTAAGGTAATTGTCATTTTTAAATTCTAATAATATTAATTTTCAGAGCTGGGCAGGTCCTCTGGAAAAAGAATCTAGAAACAGATACAGATTCTTTATAAAAAAATGAATCTTAGATACAGATACTAGTATCTTTTTCAAAATATCAAAAAGATACAAGATAAAAGATACTTGTATTTTTTACTAAATTAGAGTATCTTAAATACAAGTTACTTTTAAATTATCACTACCAATTAAATTAGAATAGTTTATAAAATACAGTTTTTATTATTTATTTGTGAAGAACATAGCATACACATATAAGATAAGAATGAATATTTGCAATAATTAATAAAATATTTATTGATGACTAGGTTTTATGTGAAAAGAAATTTAATAAAATCATTCGTATTCACAAAAAAAAATTATAATAACCAGAGATTTTAATATTAATTTTTGCGCATTAATAGTATAAACAGGGAAGGGAGAGTAGTATATTTAATGGTAGTTGAAAATGTGCAAATAAGAAAAAAAATTAAATCAAATAGTTAATTAGAATTTGCAGGTTATTTTCTGTTGTTTTAAATATAGATTATATTCGGAGTATATGACTAAATGGCATCTCTAAAAAAATATAAAAAATATACTAGTTTTATTTTATTCATTATCTTTGATAAGTATTTATCATTACTTGTTTGTGATATTTATGTATTTTTTTAAATTAGATATATTTCCTAATTTGACTTATTAATTCTTGCATTTGTAATATCATATATATATAAATATCATTTAAATCTCTTTTCAAATTTTTTTTATATATTTCTTGCAAAATCATTAATTATATATAAAAAATATGAAAATAATGTACATCATTATATTTAATTGTTAATTACATAGCAATTTTCTTTAATGCATTTTAAATTGATTAAATTTTGTAAATAAATACTGTAATGTAATTTTACTTATATCATAAATAAATAAAAGTAACTAATAAAGTTAAATTCTACCTTATTATAATTATTTTATTAAGAGTCTTTTAAAATTATCTAATATTATATATCAATTGTATATTATTTCCTTTAATTAGAACTTTCTAAAATAATTAAATATAAAATATATTAGGGATGTGTCGATATCAGAGTTGTACAAAAGATCTTCTTTGAAGATTTTTGAGAGAGATCTAGCTCAAAAATTTGAGCAAGATATTTGAAGATCTTTTATTTTTTAAAAATTTTGTGTAACGATCTTCAAAGATCTTCATGATATTTATTTTTTTACCCCTTTATTAAAAGCCCAGATATTTTTCAATTTTCATCAAGGCAGGAGGAGAGGTATAAAACATATAAGAAATATTATATTAATAAAATTGAAAAACATCTGGGCTTTTAATAAAGGGGTAAAAAAATAAATATCATGAAGATCTTTGAAGATCGTTACACAAAATTTTTAAAAATAAAAGATCTTAAAATTTTACGATCTTCAAAGATCTATCTTTTTATTTTGAGCAAATGTATAACTCTGGTCGATATTTTTTATCGGATCGCATCGGGCCGATATTTTACCCATAAAATATCGGTTATCGGTCAATATTATAAAATTTGATCCGAACAAAATTAAAATGTTATAAAATTTAAAAAAATAGATATATCTGAAATCATTTATTTTTATAAATAAAATCGAAATCCATTTTTATGTATATTGTTTTAATAATAACAATTAATAAACATTCATATTGTTATTTTTTTGCGCATTCTATTTATAAAAGTGTGCAATAATCTCTTCAGAATCTGTTTTTAGTGAAGCTGGTGATATTGACAGTTACTATCGCCGCAAGCTGATCTCTGATAAATTGGAAATATTGGTATTTCTAAAAAGAAATCTTCGCTATATTAATGTTAAATATTATTTTAAATATTTCAAATTTCATAATATAATTGTTTATTAATTAATATGTATATAGATAAATGTTATTACTTGTTATATAAAAGTGATTTGACAATAAAAATATTTTATATACTTTTAGAATTGCAATTGAATTGATTATAAACTATAACTGATCATTATAATATATTTATATGACATAAGTTATGGTATAGTTAAATTATAGTTGTTATACTAATAAAAAGTATATTAAAAATTAAAACCATTGGTATCTTTACAGAATACAAAATTATATATATGATATCGGATCGGTAATCGGCCGATATAAATTTAATATCAGGAATATCGGATCAAATCGACCTCTAGAAAATGGTATCGGTATATATCCAAAAATGATTTTAATTTGAAAATCAACCATCTATCTTCTATAAAAATGTTTAATAACAATTATCTAAGAGGGACTTATGTATAGGTATTATTATGTTAATAATTATAAAATAAAAATGTATACTATACTTTAATATGTTTAACAAAGTTTGTAGAGGAGTTTGTTCAACCTTTAATAACTTTTTTACTTGTGCAATTTTGACATTCGGCTTGTACCTTGTCCTTTTTCACATGAATTACTTTATAAAATTTTCCATCTAGAATTTTAAGATTCGGATTTGATTCAGGAGTACCTATCTCTATAATTTCATCTTCACTACTATATATGTTAAACATTCTACAAATTAAAAAATATTTCATATAAAATATATCCTTTTTATATTTTTGGTGTTGTTATATTTAATATATCTATCTTTGGGATCTGTAAAATTTCCAACTAATTTTGGTTATCAATATATTTAAAATGTAGCAAAAAATAAAAAAAATAATACAAGATTTCCAGAAAATAAAGTTACATTGTGTGATATGTAAATGTTCTAAACATGAATATTAAAAAAAATCTGTATCTGTTTAAAGAAAATGAAAAAGATAAAAGATTCTTTTCAAAATTAAGGATCTTAGATACAGATACTAGTATCTTATTAAAAATGTCAATAAGATACTGATTACAAGATACAAAAGGATCTTGTTTCTTAGATACAAGTATTCGCGGTACTGCCCAACTCTGTTTATTTTATAAAAATGTTCACACTAACAATTTTAAGAAAATAGAAAAACCTACATCCAAAGACCAATTCAATTCAAACCAAATATTAATAATGCATGCCAATATCTCTCAGAAACTGGCTGATAAAGTTATTGTTAATTTTATAATTGATACAGTTCAACCAATGTCTTGATTGATAAATCATCATTTACCATGATGATTAAAACTCTATCCCCTGTTACAACAATTTTATGTCGCCAGACACTAATGAATAAGATAGCAGATAACTTTAAAGTGATGAAAAATGATATAATGCCTAGTCATCAGAGATGATCATTTCATAATCTAAATTTGATAGCAACAGTGGATGCTGAAGGAGCCCTAAGAAATGAAGATTTTAAAAGGGCATCAAGATCAATGATATGTATATCATTGATCAAGATCCACTTTTTACAAATGTCAAACTCTATGGAAAATGCAGAACAAATCTTCTAAAGGCTCAGACATATTTTTTAAAAAAATTAGGAAGGTATTTAGTAACTCCTAGCCCCACTAGATGAAATTTAGTATACCACGCAATCAAATTAATAGCATTTTAAGATTAGAGATGAATTTTCTCTATGATCATGTTGGAATTCAATATATTAACGATGAAGAATAATTATTCAACTTCATATCATTTTAATTTTTTAATGTTATGCAATATGTGGCTCTTTTCATTGAAATTTTGGAAGGTGAGGATAATATTGAGATAGGGTATTATGTTCCCACTTTAAATCTCCTAATCACAAAATTAGAGATTGAATAATCTAATCTTATGCAAGCCCCTAGTAGACTCTCTGTTAAAAGACATTGTGAGAAGGTAAATAAAATTAATTTATTCCAACTTAAAGTAAAAGCTAAAAATTTATAAAATTTTATGATTAAGATTTATTTTAAATACACTATTTTTGTAACTTTTAGATTCCCCGACCTATACAAAGATGATAATGTATTAGTTGTAATGAATCATCCCAATTTTAAACTAAACTGACCATATATCAATTCCGATGATGCCAAAGATCAACATAATAGGCTCAAGGTAAAGTTGAATAGTCTCATACCAAACAAAGATGGCTTAATCACAACCACAAAAATGACTTCCACTGATAATTTTTTTGAAATAAAAGATAATATAATAGAAAATCCCCTTGATGCGTTTTTTAAATCTAAATAGTATTTTTGATAATCTTTCTTATATTAAAAATATGTATATAAAATTATATTGCCTTGCCTCAGTGCTAGTGTTGATAAATTATTTAGTAAGGCGAAACTTATACTTTTTTGATCGTCGCTCTAGACTTGGGGTTGATAATAATGAAATGATTTTATTACTAAAATGCAATAAAATAAATAAAAAATGAACATTTCCATAAATATTTATTTATAACATATTTTACAATTAAAACTAACTATATTTAAATATTTATTTTTATACATTATTTATTATACAATTACATTATAAGCAAAAAATAAAACAAATTTGTTTCTAAATTTTTTTTATAAAAAGTTGCTTATAAATGTAGCTTGTAGCTAATAGCGCGCTACCTCATTATGATGGGTAGCGATAGTGGTAGCGCGCTACTTTTAAAAGTAGTGTTTAACAACTCTGGTTTTATCAATAATTTTATTGTTTGTTTACATTTATACGTCGTTCTGACAAATAATCTAAAACTGCACCATAAACGTAGCTAAGGATTTTTCTGGGGGAGAAGGAAGAGGGTGGAATAGTCGAAAATTACATTGTCATATATCAATCAAATAGTAGGATTTCAAAAGATATTATATTATGTGAGGAAATGAACCGGTGTTTATTTCGCCGTGTATTTTATTGATTTTGAAAGATATAATTATATTTTTATTTAATCTTGTAATACAATAAAGTGGACTTTGAAATTGAGAAAATACTTGTTTTATAAAATGGGAAATTACGAAAATAATCCGTTGAAAATTAAGTTATTTAAAGTATTCTCCAAGTGATAATAATAAAGACATTGATGTTTTTCCTTTTTCTAGCCAGCGACCTTCATATATTATATTACCAATATAAGGTATCTCCTCCTTTTCCTTCCCAATACTCACTTTATTCTTCTACCACCTTTATCCAAATGCGCTCGGCACGGTTCTAATAATTGTTTCTATGATCCTTTCATTCTCTTTTCTCCTTTCATTCTATCTCCTTATAGTTTGTATTTCCTCTCTAGCTTTTTGTTCTCTTTATCTTTTCTCTCCTCCTTTTCCTTCCCAATACTCACTTTATTCTTCTATCTTTCTCCAAATGCGTTCGGCACGGTTCTAATAATTGTTTCTATGATCCTTTCATTCTATCTCCTTATAGTTTGTATTTCCTCTCTAGCTTTTTGTTCTCTTTATCTTTTCTATGTTCGGGAATCCTTTAACCTTTATTCCCCTAATTCTATTCAATTCCATCCATAACAATTCATATAATTTAACTCTCTTATTCTCTTTCTCTGTCTCTTTTTAATCCATCTTTCCTTTAAATTTATTATTTCACTCTCTCTTTAATGCCTCTCATTTGTGTTTATTATATTTTGGTTTGCAATTCACCTATCCTAAAGTGCGTAGCCGGAAGTGCTAAGGCAAGAAAAATCCCCCCCCCTTCAAAAATAAGCTTGTTTCATAAATATCATTATAAGCTAATAAAAATTTCCCCCATACATACATCACCCTTACCCCCCCCCCCCAATATATACAATATATCACTATAAACAAAAATTTTAGAAAAAAATTAGCAAAAATGAATAATTTTATAAAATAATAATTTTTAGAAAAAAGCATTTATATAAAAATAAATGAAAACAAAAATCATTTTCCCAAAAATCTAACATAGCCAAAGGCATACGTAAGTGGACCTAAATACCCTGAATAAAATTGGTGAAAACCGTACATAATAGTACACATATCCCCTTAGCAAAATCCTGAATACGTCTATGTTTATCATATTCTACCTCCCCTTTTCTTTATTATTTCCCCGTTTTACTATTTGTCTTGTCCGTCCTTTTATATTATTTCCATTGCTATTATTCCAATTTTTTTCACACTAGAATCTATGTCTTACTCTTACTTGATTTTTCATCCATCATTTCCTATATCTGTTCTTGTTTATCTGTCCTATTGTCTTTTCACCTTCTCTAATTTTCATGTGTACCACGTTTATTGTTTTTCTTTCTTTAATTCATGTTCTTTTGTATATTCTCTTCTCTTGTTTTTACATTATCTATCTCCTCCTTCCAAATCTATTATTTCTAATTGTCCTTGATTCTTTCCTGTATAGCTTATCTTGTCAATCTCTTATCCTTACATATGCCTAAACATATCATGCGCCGATGTCTTGTTTGTGTTATTTTATAAAATATGATAATTTATTATAACCTAAAATTCTTATATATAATATAATTAAACAGAATAGAATAAAATAATAGTGAATATTAGTATTGTTAAACGGCTCGATTTGAACGAATTTTTAAAAACGGCTAACCAAATATTTTATCCAGAAAAATATTGTGCAATCCTGAAGATCTGTGTCATAGATGGGAAAAATTGTTGGACATCTATCAGCGAAATCTCGAGATTCAAGCAAATTTTTCTAGCTAAAATACTAGCCGTTTTGGCTCAAAATCGAGCCATTTAACATAGGTTAAATTAAGTAAATTATATCTAATCAGCGTAGTTTTCTGTTTCTCGATCTATTAATAATTATTTGTATTGTTGCATCTATCTATTCTTCTCCATTTTTCTATACTAATTTAAACATCTTTTTCCTCATTTTCCGTTCCTTTTATTCTCTAAAAAATAATAAAAATTTTAATGCCCAAGCTGCCTATTAAAGTTTTACAAAAAATCAGAGATTTGCGAAGCCAAGCCTGATTTTTCATGTATAAATTGTCCAGCCTACTCGAAAATTTTTAATAAATTGCTCAGCCAGTTATAACTTTAAAAAAAGGCCAAGCTTTCAAGCGGGTCAATTGCAGACCTCTGATTGAAACACACACTGATTGTAAAATGAATAAACTTTTAAATTTCAAATAAATTAAGCAAAAAAAACCATTAAAAACGGAATAATATGTAATTTTATGCAAAAACGCCCGGAAAAAATTATAAACTTATCTGGAATCTAAGATTTTGGCTATTTCTAGTTATTTATATTAAGCTTTCTTTACTTTCCAAATTTTTAATAAACCAAAGAGGATCGACCGAAGATCTCATTTTCTTGCTAATTTGACATGAAATGATTCTGCATGAAAAAGAAAGAGATTTTGTTATATTACTTGCAACATGAAAAAGATTTTAAATAGTTAACAAGTTACAGTCAGTCAAAAACCTTGTCTATATTTTAAATGAGATGATTAATTATGGAGAAAAGTACCCCGTGGGCCTCCTCATCCGCCTACGACAAAAAGAAGGATGGGAAACCTGGTGGAACCACTATTCATGAAAATGAAACCTATGACGGCCATAAACGACCTAATAAAAAGTGGAGAAACCAGTTTACGGGTGATCGAGTTAGGGTCGCGACATGGAATGTTGGGAGTATGACGGGAAGAGCGGGAGAAGTTGTCGATGTATTGCACAGAAGACATATAGATGTGTGCTGCATACAGGAGACTAGATGGAAAGGAAATGGGACCAGAATGATTGGCAAGACTAGCGAAAAGTATAAATTCTTTTGGCAAGGAGGTAATGATGGTAAGGCTGGAGTTGGGGTATTGGTTGCGGAGAAATTGGTAGACAAAGTAGTCGAAGTGAGAAGGCTAGACAACCAGATAATGATTATCAAGATGATTATTGGTAGAAAGCTATATAATATGATCTCGGCATATGTTCCTCAGGTTGGAAGAAGTGAAGAAGAGAAAGATGTATTTTGGGACAGTCTATTGGGGGGTGACATCGAGACTGGCAAATGAAGAGGGGATTATCCTGGCTGGCGATCTGAATGGACATGTGGGAGCGAGTAGTGAGGGTTATGAAGGAGTACATGGAGGGTTCAGTTACGGCATGAGAAATTTGGAAGGAGAGAGGATTTTAGAATTTAGTGATGCTATGGATATGATTGTTTGTAATACAATGTTTAAGAAAGAATCAGAGAAGCTGGTGACTTATAAGTCGGGTAGTACCAAAAGTGTTGTGGATTACTTATTATTAAGGAGATGTGATCGATGTATAATAAAAAATGTGAAAGTGATACCGGGAGAGGAATGTATAAATCAGCATCGACTAGTTGTAGGAGATCTCACTCTTAAAGGTGCCAGGGTCACTAAAAGAAAGTTTGTCCCAAGGCTGAAGGTTTGGAAATTGAAGGAGGAGAATGCTAGACGTCAATTCAATATGGCATTGGCGTTTAGGGAGGCGGAGGTGGCACAAGCATCTGGGGTGAATGACAAGTGGGAAGCCATGAAGAAAGCTTGGGTAATGACAACTGAGGAGGTATGTGGATGGACAAAAGGGCCGCCTAGACATAAGGAGACTTGGTGGTGGAGCCCAGAGGTAGCGAAAGCCGTGGATGAGAAACGGAGGTGTTTCAAAGTATGGTATAATAGCAAAGAAAATAGTGATAATGATATTTACAAGATGGCTAAAAGAAATGCTAAGAAATTAATAGCGAAGGCTCAAGAAGAAAAAAGACACGAGTTTGCTAAAGAAATGAAATGCGCTGATGGAATTGGAAATATGGTTAGAATGGCAAAACAGATGTCAAAAAAGACGCAGGATGTGATAGGTGTAAAATGTTTGAAAAATATGGAAGGAAAAATGACGATTGATAGTAGTGGTATTAAGAACACCTGGAAGATTTACATGAAAGGACTTTTGAATGAAGAAAATGAATGAAATAAAAATATTAGTTGTGCAAAGGTAGAAGGTCCAGGGTGTAAATTTGGCAAGGACGAGATAAGGAGAGCAGTGAAAAAGATGAAGAAAGGGAAGGCATCGGGTTTAACGATGGTGGTATCAGAGATGTTTAAAGGTTCTGATGATTTAGGGATTGAATGGTTAATGAATTTAGCAAATCAGATTGTCACAGAAGGTACTATTCCCAAGGACTGGCGAAGAAGTATAATTATCCCAGTATACAAGGGGAAAGGTGATCCTTTAGATTGTGGGTCTTACAGAGCTATTAAACTCTTGGAACATGCAATGAAAGTATTTGAGAGAGTGTTAGAAAAGCGGATAAGGGAACAAATCAAAATTGATGAAATGCAGTTTGGTTTTACATCGGGAAAAGGCACGACAGATGCAATTTTTGTGGTGAGACAAATTCAGGAGAAGTATCTTGCGAAGGAAAAGAAACTCTATTATGCGTTTGTTGATTTGGAGAAAGCATTTGATAGGGTGCCGCGTGAGATTACAAGATGGGCCTTGAGAAAATCCGGTGTGGAGGAATGGTTAGTTACCGCAGTGATGGCAATGTATGTTGGAGCACAAACAGCAGTACGGACGGATTATGGTGATAGTGACAGCTTTGAGGTGAAGGTAGGACTTCATCAAGGATCCGTGCTGAGTCCATTATTATTTATCTTAGTAATGGATGTGGTGGCTAGAGAAATGCGTGAAGGACTTCCCTGGGAGATATTATATGCAGATGACCTTGTATTAATGGCAAACAGTGAGGGAGAATTGAGGGATAAAGTTAGTAAATGGAAGATGACTATGGAAGCAAAGGGCCTGAAAATGAATGCATCAAAAACAAAGGTGATGATTGGTGGGGAAAATCTAAAGATAGAAGAATCAGGTAAGTGGCCTTGTGGTGTATGTGGGAAAGGAGTTGCTAGAAATTCTATCCAATGCACCAGATGCCAGAAATGGGTACATAAAAGATGTAGTGGGAAAAAAGGCAGTTTGATGTTAGAAAGAATGACCTTAATTTGTAAAACATGCATGAAAGGGATACATAATAATGATAACCTAAAAAATGGTGGTCTGGATATTGGCAATGGGTTAACCCTAGAAAAAGTGGATAAGTTTTGTTATTTAGGTGATATGCTAAACGCAGATGGTGGTGTAGATTCTGCTGTTGTTGCAAGGATCAGACAAGCTTGGAAGAAGTTCAGAGAGATGTCATCTATTCTTACAAATAAAAAAGTTTCTCTGAAGTTAAAGGGGAAAGTTTACGTAAGCTGCGTGAGGAGTTGTTTAGTTTATGGCGGTGAAACATGGGCAATGAAAGCAATTCACGAAGCCAAATTAGAAAGAACAGAGATGAGGATGGTTAGATGGATGTGTGGGGTATCTCTGAGAGAGAGAAAAACTAGCAAGGAATTGCGAGCAAGATTAGGTATAGAAATGATTGGTATGGTAATGCGACGAAATAGACTAAGATGGTTTGGGCATGTGGAACGTACGACAAGAGATGACTGGGTAAAGAGATGCACAATGATGGAAGTAGGAGGATCAAGACCTAGAGGAAGACCCAAGATGACGTGGACAAATGTGATAGCGGCGGATATGAGAAGCTTGAATCTTACAAGTATTGATGCTCAGGACCGTCAAAAATGGAAAAGAAAAATCAGAGTGAAAACTGGCCTACCCGGGTAAACCTGGAAATCGCCATAAAACGGAGAAGAAGAAGAAGATTAATTATGGAGAAATTAAAAATTATTCGTGATAATGCACAACGGAAATATTCAAAGTGTTTTGTTTTGCCCATAGTTCACGGTTAGTGATTTTTTTATGACATAATCTGAGAGATCGTAAGTAAAAATCGGTTATCGGATCATTTTTGAATAAATATCGGATAGGAGGGGTGAAAAATTTGTAATACACAATATAGCGCAATTTATTTCTGGTATTGTAATGAATAAACAAGTAAATATTAGAAAAGAAAGATATTTTATTGTAAAAGATAAAGATAATTTAATAATTACATTAAAATTGATAAATACCTTTAATTTTTAATTTAAATAAAATAAATATTATAATGTTTTTTAAAATTGGTTTGTTGTTTGAATTTAAAATTTGTTATACTGTAAATAAATAATTTAAACTTGTTCCAATAAAATTAAATTTTTCTGAGATTTAGTCAAAGATAAACGTAAAGAATTTGCATATCCATTACGTTGGTCCCACTTAATCCTGGTTTAAAGTGATATTTGCCATCTAAAAAGGACTCAAAAAAATGATAACTGTCGTGCCTGGTTAGATAGTTTTGGGAAGCGCATAAAAATCGCTCTAAAGTTTTATTCTCCTCCGTGGTTATGAGATGATTTTCTTCATTTTGAAGATTACTGTCATGATTAAGATGGTTCATAGGATTATTCATGAAACTCGTGAATTCCATAAAAGCACCAGCAGAATCTGTTGGGCCATCTTGGCCATCGCTGCCAACACTTAGTAAATTTAATTTTGGCCAAACTTTATGGGGGTTACAAACTTCTCGTTTTAGATAACTGATTAGGAAAGACAGCACCAATTCTTGGTTACGGCCACCTTTAAAGGTATATAAGTCCTCTTTGTTGTCATTAATTTTTTTGTGATTAATAAAAGTGTCTGATTTTATATAATTCGAATTCGATGGAAAATTAAAATTTCTAATAATATTTTGGTCCATTTGAATTTGCTTAGAATCATTTAATTTCTCCTCGCTGGGTAATGTTTTAACGTCAAATTCAACAGTGCACTCTCCGCCAAATATCAGGCAGAGTATATAATTCGGGTTTAAGTCTTGCACTTTTGGAAGTAAAATTATTTCTTTAAATAATTCGTCGATTTGATTTTCAAGGAACTTTATAGTTTCGATCCGCTCGAACTCGTTTGAATCGATAAATATTTTACTTTCCTCGATTAAATATGGTTCAAGCTCAAATAATCTAGAATTACTATCTTTAAAACCTGATTTAGACGACGCTAATCTCAAATTTTCTGAAATAGATATTCCGATGTTGGCTATATACTCACCGAATAGTTTGGCTTCCCCTTTTATTCGGTTTGATACTATGATCGCTTTGAACTTGCAGAGAGAATCGTTGTAATGCTTATGATAATCGGTTATAAAATTCTTAGCTTCTTGAAGCATCAACATATTATTTCCTATAAGTAAATTTTGTAAAATCTCTTCCGATTTTGGCGCCCGTGGTTTTTCGTTTTTTTCTAAAAAAATAATTTATAATTTTTGTTGTCATTTTTTAAAGAAACCTATTTTTTCTAATATTTCATTCGGAATCATATGTTTGATGCCAAAATCATCGATAGTTTTTAGAGCGTCTTTAGGAAAAAATGTAGGGGTTATAGTGGGTCCACTGGCCACGTATTGCAAAGGATCCCCAACTATATCTGATATAATTAACGATATAACCTTTTTTCATTATGAAATAGTAAAAAAATGTATATAATTTTTAAATAAAATATGGTACTAACTAACAGAATCATATTAGTTTATATTAAATTTTTTAAAAATTGCTAAATGATTTTAGATTATCTCAAAATAAATAAATATAATCTTCAATAAAATTTGACAAATAAATCATAATCATTTTTTTAAGACCTAAAAGCTGTTTTAAAATTTTTTTTTAAAATCCGGGTATGAAAATCCTATTTTTACAAATCCGAGCCAGATCTAATGCATGCAGGTCTCTGACATATACAATTTTTAAAAAATCATACCCGAACATTGGAAGGAACGTAATCGAGTAATTTGCCTCCTTTAACCTCGGACAAACTAGATCTAACGGTGTTGAGCTGCGTTATATCGGCTCCCTTAGAGGCTAATAATTTGATCAATGACAATTGTTTTGAAACTGTCAAGGGCTTGATAGGGCAACAGAGTAAAGCGCTTCCACCTCCTGACACAAGAATAAATAATAAGGAATCGTTTTGATTCGGTATGGACTTTAGCATTTGCAAAATTAGTTGGGTCGTTTTGAATGCGTCTTCATCTGGTAAATTGTGTCGAGCGCCTTCGAAGGCTTGGATTTTGTCAAGGTGTAAGTCAGGAAACTTTCTAGATGATATCAAATAATAATATCCAGGGTGGTGCATTTGACCGGTCAAATACGATTCGTCAATTGACAGATATTTGACCATGGTCAAATAAGGTCAATCAAATAAATCCTATTTACGCCAATATTAATTTTATTATTTATATATAACATTATAATAAATCTATGTAATATTAATTTCATAATATTATTTTAATTCATTCCATAGTTAATGTTTCGCCCCCCTGGCAGAGTCTTGTTCCGATTCATATTCAATATTATTATTTTCATTAATATTTTTAAACAATCTTAGGTTATGATATACTCACCAAATTTCCTGTTGTAGAAGTCAATCGATTTCTGTTTTTCGCATGAATATTGCCCCAAAGACCAATTTCTTTCCCAAGAAGTCGAACTAGGAAATGTTAGTAAATAGTTACTTTTCTATGGGCAAGATGGGCAAAGTGCTTTCCACCAACTTGAGGTCGAAATCTGATTGTTTCTTATGGAAGTTACCATTTTCCATATATTTTAGCTATTAAATATGCCGCTTTTACTTCTGAAATTTAATATAACACTTAAAATATTTTGATTATCATCACCTTGTAAAATGCCTAATTCTTGTATTATATTATATGCTTCATCAAATTCAGTAGTAGTAAGATGCTTCCCTTGATATTTGGGGTCCAATAAATAAGCAGCATTGTGATTTATTTAGATCATTTTTTCTCTTTCAAACATAATTTTAATTTTTATTTCTTCTTGGTAATAATTTCTATGGGACAAATATCACATGTAGCTTCTTTAACAACTGATGCTTTCAGAGTTTTCTTACATATTTGTATTTGCTCCATACATTTTATTAACAAAATCCATCTTGTTTGGCTAGTTGTATTTAATGTAGATGGTATACCATGTAGAATCTTATTACGGGAAAATACTGCAGCTGGTATGTGTTTATTCTTGAAAAATTTAGCAATTTTTTTAATTATTGATATATGGTAACTGAAGGCGTTCAATCGTTTATCGTGGAAAAATAACTGCAATGTATGTGCTGCACAACCATAACATTGTATATGATTAAAAATAGAATCAGAATTTAAGATTCTTATTACGGGAAAATACTGCAACTGGTATGTGTTTATTCTTGAAAAATTTAACAATTTTTTTAATTATTGATATATGGTAACTGAAGGCGTTCAATCGTTTAATAGTTAAAATAACTGCAATGTATGTGCTGCACAACCATAACATTGTATATGATTATAAATCGAATCAGAATTTAAAATTCTCCAGGCTGCTTTCATGTTAGCGGCATTATGATAACTAAAGAATATACTTTACCAGCTTCAATTCATGAATCACATTTTTAAATTCCTGAGCAATATAATCTGCCATATGGCGATTTCCTCAGTGTTTAAAAATTCGTAGAATACTGGAACAGGCGTCACCATAAAATTAATGCGACACTCGTTTCTGATGTTGTTCCATCCATCTGACACAACTGATAAGTGAGGAGTTTATCTATTATATATGCAACTCTTGCTCCATATCTCCTGACGCCTTTGCAAACAATTGATTGAGCTTATTTTTTTCTTTAGAATTCATTCTATCTATGAAACCGGTTATACAAGATTGAGATTTACATTTAATCGCCTTGCTTTTTGATTGATCAGATGAGATAATGGAATCGAACTCTCCTGAGTCATTAGGCAAAATATTGTCAATTTGTGAATTATTCTTACTAATTTCACCCAATTTTTCATCAGAGTTAGAAGCATTACAAATTAAATTTGTGTAATTTTTTGGTGAGGTTGATATTATGTAATTTGAATAAAATTTTCCTTATTTATGGCAAGGCACTTAGTACAGCTGCTTAATAAATGCTTGACCATTTCATCAACGTGGTTAATATACCTTCATAATGCTTTAACTGATTTACCATTGTGTACTCCTTGAAAATGTTTCCAAATGCTTTTGTTTGACCATAATCTCTTATATAATTTAACTATAAAAAATTTTGATTATAAACTTAATCAATCTTAATTATTTTATAATTATCGATCAATTATTTTAATAATTTGGTATAACATTATATAAAATGGTATATAGAATATAATATATAACTTTTTACCAGAATTGAATAAATTATTCTGTAAATTTGGCCAGAACTTAAAAGAAAATTAATTTATAAATTCAAAATGTAATGAGAATTAATATTATTTATACTCGCTAAATATTAAATAAAATTTAAATTTATTAAAAAAGAAAACATGACAGCTAAATTATCATATTTATTAATTTTAATAATAAAAATAATTCTTTTGTTTTTATATTATAAATAAAATGTCTAATATTTACTATAAAATTTTTAAATTTTAATATAAAATTATAATTAAAACGTTTCCTTCATGATATAAATATATTTTAAAATAAATTGTAACCTAAAAAGATTGATAAACGTGCTTTTAATGCATACTAGTTGATTATATGAAAATATTTATTCGCCTATAATATTTTAGGTATTTGACCATATTTAATCGTTCAAATACTCCTCCTGTCAATTTACCAACATGCCAACTGGGGTTTTTACAATCTCTTTCATCAGAAACATGACTAGTTATTATTCTACATCTGCGTATATGGACATGATATTTAAAACTTTAAATCAAAAATATTACAATAAATAATATTTCCTGTATCTAAGTCTGGAGTAGAAGAGAAAAGGTCCATTCCCAATTGACTGTTCCACCATCTAAAATAAAGTAGTCAGCTTTATTCAGAGAAACCAAATAAAATCTAGTTATTTTAACTGCTAAAATTGGTCCAAACTTTGGCTAATATTAAATATCAGAATGGATCAGCAGAATATTTAGTGTTTTCAAAAAAATATAGGTTGGGCCAATTTTTTGAAAAATCCAATCTTTTTTTAAATTGTTTTTGGTTATTTTATAAAATTGTATATCTTTATTTTATAAATAATAAATTAATGAAAGGAACTAAGATATATTTTGTAATGTTTTTCAAAGTATAATTTTTTTAAATATTATCTGTAACAAGAAATGGATTTTAAAATATCTAATAAGTCACATTCAGATCTGTTGTTAAAAGGCTTGATTCAGCCAATTTTTAAAAATGGTTAACTCAAAATTTTGGCTATAAGTAGATTGCTCGAGCCACCTATTTAATTTGCCCACAGATGGCAGAAAGGTTTAGATTTATATTGGCAAAATTTCAAGGCCTAGGTAATATATTTTAGCTATGATCTTGATATGGCATTCACCTTGCATATACATTACAAGGGTTATTAAAAAGTTCGACTCAGGTTGATTTTTAAAAATGATCTGATTAAAATTTAGCCAAAATAATCAGCTTGGGTCATTTTTTAAAATCGACCAGAATCAGGTTATTTAACTAGTTTATGGGATTATTAGAGAATCTTTAAAAAATAGACCTAAACATTCATAAAAAATAGTAGGTTTTTTGACTAAATATTAGATTAGTTCAAAGATATATGGTAAATATTTTTTAGTAATACCAGAAAAATTGGATAGGATTGATAAAAAAATTTGTAGATTGGCACAGCCTTAATCCAAAGTGAAAAGGTTGGAAATTAGCCAACAAAATCTAAATTCTATTTTGCTTATAACCTCAATCTAAATGAAGTTAAACTCCTTTAATGAAATTTTTTTGGGATTGTGCATAAGCTTGAAGTGGTCCAGTTTACCTTCACTAGTCATTTTATTATGATATTTCCCATTTCTTATAAATTTTGATCTTTTTTACTTAGATCTTCACCCTTTAAAATTTTAACCCATCTAACTTACTATAACCTAACATTATATAGCTTTTATTCAATAAAAACTAGGTATGAATGATTCAATAAAATAAAATTAACTTTTTATAAAGAGAAATAATTCCTTTTGGTACACTAATAATACCCTGTTGAATATGCTTAGTTAATAGTTCTTCTGTCCCTAATGCCATTCCATAAGTAGCTTTTCCAAAACCAATAACATATACATTATTGTTTAGTATATAGCTCCTTCCCAAAATAAATATGTAAATATATATTACATTTTACTTTTTATTAATTTCACAAACATCATGTTTAACATTGATAATTGATTTAATTAAACTGTATGAGTTAACTCTGTTAATTGCTGTGTTGTATATTGCTCTACATTCCTTAAGAAAATCCATAATAAAACGTATTTTTTAAAAAAATTGTAGTTTTGTGAATCACCACCAAATTCTTCAAATTTCAAAAGTACTTATGTATATTACATATTTAAACGAATTTCAATCCTTGCTATGTGAATAAATTTATTTAAAACTAAGTGACTATAAGAAGTTTTCATAGAAAGTAAATTTTGGGATATGGACAGAATACAGCCCTCACTCATTATTCACCAATAAGTTTACCCTAATTTTGTAAATAAAATGTTTTGCGGTAGATTTTTATTTTTTTATTCAGGCGAATAAATAGTGATTAAAAAATATAAAATTATATTTTGACAGATGTCTTTAATATTTATAGATTTCCCATCAAAAACATTGATTAATACTAATGCTGTTAACATAACACTACAATTAAAACGTATGCACTATAGTTACAACTTATTTCTCCTAAAAGGGAGCTTCATATCTACTTTCTTGAAAAAAATAACGCGCAATAGCTATTGTTTTTTAAAAGTAGCTCGTTGCCAAAGTAACCAATTTAAAATTATATATATAAATTTTCAAGAGCTAATAAATAATATTGCACTCCGATTTATATATTTTTTGATCTTAAATAAAATTTTATAAAAATATGAAGGTTTCTCCAAAAAAATATAATATAAAATGATATATAATTAATTATTAATGAATTTTATATTAGCCTTTACAATTGGAGATTATATTTCCTACCGAACACTCACGAGTAGAGGATATCAAATCTAAATATCGCATGATAATGTTGTAGAAGGATTGCACGTGTAATAAGCATGGTAGACTTATTGTTACGTTATTTATATAGATA